ACACCAATTGATGCAACTAGATGTGATCGATGTAGGAGATAATTTGCCGTCGACACGCATCAAAAGACCTACGTAAGAGGAAAAACTTAGAGAAGGACTTCATCACTAAGCTCCCACACTTTCTCAAGCTCAACGGAGTGGGAAAAAGATCTTAATTCGAGGACGGCTATGGTTTTCCGTCATCAGAAAGGGCAGCAAATTTCTAGCAACTGTCGTAAAGCGAAGATAGGATCAACGGAGTTCCAGCCGGGAAGATGCACATTTTTATTCGTAGAACAATATTAAAGGACACCTTGGATACTATGGTCACTAGGCTGACATCCAGGTGATTTTCGCAAAGTTTGTGGTACCATTTGTGACTACAGAAACTACTGTCAAGACGCTCCATTCTGTTGATGTCTTTTCCACTTTCCAGGCGGTTTGAAGTAAAGTAATCGGGATAGGCGCAAAATACTCACCGCCTCCCCGAAAGTGTTTATGAGGCAAACCATCTAAACCAGGTGCTTTTCGAGCTGAAGCATGCTGGACACTGTCTTTTGGAGGTGGACTGGTACTTGCATGGCACTCGAACTTATTTAGTTCCTTCACGGGTTAGATCGATAATGACCATCCTAAGCCTCCAGAAGTGTTCAGCCCATTGACAGAAAGCTTTTCGTTATGCCCTCACTCGTATTGTTTTCTTGGCACTTTTAATTCCTAACCATCAGATCTTGTGTCATCTGATATGTTACACCTCCTTAAAAATACGCCCTCAGACTCAAATATCTACTGTCAAGGCCGCGTAACGTAAAACACCCCCAAATGCGCCCTCGAAAACTTATCCCCCGTTGTTTTCAAGATAACCGCACCTTGCTTCGGCCTTCCCATAACTACATGACAAATACACCAAACCACGCGTACCGCGAGTTTGATGAAACCTCACACCTGCATATACCGGCGGCCAGCTCAGGCCATTATGCGCCTCCACCATCCTACATACCCACTTCCTTCCCAGTTGTTGACCATTTTCGGACGCGACCCATCCCTGCACAACCACCGTCACTTTCTGCACCATGCCATTCTCCACACCTCCCGCCGATGAGAATGACTTCATTTCCCAAGACCCCTCCCAACCCCCAAACGCTTCCGACTACATACCAAACTTCAAGACATTTACCCTACCCCATAATGAAATTTATGCTCTACCTTCTGCCGTGGATTCAAACCTGCCTCAACCACTACTCGCCCCTCTACCCCCAGTTGTGAATACATCTCAACCTAATCCGAACACATGCCCAGTCAACGCTACTTCATGTACCCTAACCTCCCCTAACGAATTCTCCCTAGTACCGAACTCCACCGTAAACGAAGTTACCAAATTCCTACTTAGTATGGTGAGCTCACAAACAGACCTATCAATTATGCACTTTAACGCCCGCTCACTGCTGCCAAAAATCCATACTCTACGTGCGATTATTGCTGTTGCGCAACCGAGTCTGATTTGTGTGACCGAAACATGGCTCTCGGTTGATACTCCAGACACGGTGGTCTCAATTCCTGGTTATAATCTTCACCGCTCTGACAGGAGGAACTCGAGAGGTGGAGGCTGTGCCATCTACTCCAACACGGAACTTCGTGCAACCCCCCTTGATGATCCCAGCCTAGAAGGGATTCCTGAAACTACCTGGATCTCCATAGAACAGACCAAGCGACCTGTACTAGTAGGCTGTATCTATCTACCACCGCCCCCCACCCCCGCTTCTATAACTGACTTGTCCCGTATTATCTCCACTGCTCACGCCCTTCCTCATTCATCTAAATTCGTGCTGGGAGACTTCAACCTACCGGATATTTCCTGGTCACCCACTCTGGGCCCTAGTCGTTACGCCTCACTGCTTGCCCAACTTAGTGTAGAAGGTTGGTCTCAGACTGTACGCAGCCCCACACGTGGCCAACACACCTTAGATCTAATATTTTCAAATGAGGATCATCTGGCTACCAATGCAGTTGGTCCATGATTTGCAGGTAGCGATCACTGCGTTGTTTCGTGTAACGCAGCCAGGTTTAGTAGAACTGTTCCCCCGAGTCCATCTTTCCTTCACCTCCTGACACCGGACATTTTGCTGGCTTTTTCGTCCCTGCTGGCCTCCCGGCACTGGAAAGACTTCTTTCTCTCGTCAGACACAACGGATTTGTGATATCTTCTACCAAAACCTATTGACCTCTCTCTACCTTGCCTCTCCCATCAAGAGTTTTTACCCTGGTTCCTCTCGACATGATAAACTATTGAAAGCCTTGGAAAATAAAATACGCCGAGCCGGCAGAGAATATCGGAAATCTCGCGATTTCTCATTAATACTTCTCATCAACAAGCTTTCAACTGACCAAGAATCCTTACGGGTATCCCTCGAATGCCGAGAAGAGAACACCGCTCTCAGGGGCCCTTCTAGCTGTAAATTACTCGGCCGCCTATTTCGTGGACGCTGTACCCCAAACTGTCACCAAGTCACATGTCTGAGCTCCACCAATGGTAGCTTCATCACTCATCCTGTCAATATAGCCGACCACTTGAATGCTTACTTTGCCAGCTGCTACTTGCCTCCTTCTCCTAAGTTCAATCCTACAATCCCCGCCTCATATTCCACCTGTCTACAACAGAGTAACCGCCCGACTCTGAGCAGCTTGACTATCTCCCTAGCTGATGTATCAGCCCTTCTTCAAACCCTCAGAGACTCCGCCGTGCCGGGAGGTGACGGCATACCATCGCGTGTCCTGAGATATGGCGGTCAAGATGTCAAAACACTTGTCCTAAATCTTTTTACTCACTCAGTAAACTCTGGAATCGTCCCCTCTCAATGGAAACAATCTGTCGTTCGCCCCCATTTTAAATCCGGATCCAGGCAAACTGCTTCAAATTACAGAGGGATCCACCATACTCCTCTTTTAATGCGAACCCTCGAACGTCTGGTAAAAGGCCCTTTAATCAGGTTTCTCCTAGCTACAAACGCCATAGATGATCGACAGTATGGATTCCTATCTCAGAGATCCGTAAACGGCTGCCAGCTTCACTTTTTTGAGACCATCACAGCAGCTTACGACGCTGGATACGCCATAGTAACAGTCTATCTGGACATCCAAAACGCCTTCGACCAGGTCCCCCACGCCTCCCTGCTACACAAACTTAGCACCGTTGGCATCACGGGAACCTTATTTCAGTGGTTTTCCTCCTATTTATCAGACAAGAGGCAAATACCGCAAATCGAGGACATAAAATCTTCTCCACTACCGATCACTAGCGGAACCATCGAAGGAAGCGTGCTAGGCTCCATCCTTTTCTTACTATACATCAATAACGTCTTCGGCGCCATATCCCACTGTAAGGCCTTATATTCCTCCCCTCGACCGTGCGCTCTTGCCTACTCGTTTCATTGACCCCAACGACCACCAAGACATTCATTCCAACCTATTGGACTACTCGTTCAAATTCAACCACCTCTGTGTCCCCGTCAAACCTAACCCCTACACCTGACTTCCAGGCAACAGAGCAACCAGTTAGTCTGCTTGTCCTCAGATTGCACCATATTTTTGAGACTAAACCTGCCGTGTTCTTCCAATTCGAATTATCCCATCTCCACCTCCACTTTTGCTTGTTATGACTCCGACCATTTACCCAACCGCCCAAGGTCACTCATGGCCAGCAATGGTTTTCCAGTTTTATTTCATGTCAGCCAACTGAGTCACTGAATTACTCGGACCTCGTGCCTATTGTTCCCTACAAGTTTCAAGAGAAAAATATCATTATTATTATTTAATCGAGTACCTCCCACTGTTTGTGACATTGTCCCCTTTCGCGCGGTCAACACTACCCGCAAATCCCTTAGTAATGCTCCATTCTGACTGTAAACGCATGATCATGCCAGATGGCATGCCACTCACAAGTTGGGAATAAACATTATCATTATCCACAGTAGGTAAAGAGCCCTTGTAATTTTGGATCCATACCCATGCCACCTCAGGTCTGATGAAGTCTGATTATTTAATGCCCACTGTTTACGTCACCGTCCGTTTTCCGGGAAATTCCCATTAATCACAACCCCCACCTGTCACGCTCTTATTCTGACTGTAATACTCTGATCACGCTTGGCGGTATCCTACCCACTATTTGGGAATAAATATTATTATTATATACGGCGGAAGGAGCACCGTAGATGAAATCCTTGAAGTTTTGGACGGGGCATGCTGAAATTGCTGAGGAAGAACGAAGCAGCTAAGTTCAAGTTAAGGGTTCAAGGAATTAGGACAAACTCGTCCCAGAAGTAGTTGGGCTCGTGTAAAGAGTTTGTTCGTGGTGGCAAGTAAAGAGACGAGCGAACGCGAGGAAAAGGCAAAAATTGGAGAAGGAATAATCACGTGTGTCCCGTCAGACTGGGTGTGATAGTACTATGCCATTAGCGCACAGTAATACTCCGGTCTCTGGATAGTCTCTTAGTGGACGTAAGTATTGCTATAATTCGTGGTGGCAAGTAAAGATACGAGCGAACGCGAGGAAAAGGGAAAAATTAGAGAAGGAATAATCACGTGTGTTCCATCAGACTGGGTGTGATAGTACTATGCCATTAGCGCACTGAAATACTCCGGTCTCTGGATAGTCTCTTAGTGGACGTAAGTATTGCTATAATAAACAAGTGGAGTGCGCCCTTGTGGCGGCGGGATTTGGGTATGCTTAAATTTCCAGCAAGGAGCGGTCAAGCTGTTGAGATGCATTTGGAGATCCATATGAAAGGGGACGAACCACAATATATAACAACCGCACAGGACATTCCGAATTGCTTCTACTAGTGATCAGAGCTTGAAAATAGGAGTAAATGGGTGGAAACCGGTAAACACCGGTGAGTTGAGGGTGGTATCAGATAACATGACGTTCATTAATGGAGACGACCGCCAGCCATTATGAGTCTAAAGAGCGCTAGTCGCCGGGCTTGTCGATATTTTACGAGGGATAGAACAAACCACTATAAAGCATGCTTCCAATTGGCGAGTATCAGGCTCGCTCAGATAGCAACGAGACAGACCATCGCTGGTGGCAAAGTAGCACCTCATGCATTGCACTGAGCGTCACTGGATCAGTACACTTAGGGCCACAGAGTGAAGGTGTGAAAATTTTGATTGAGTATGGAGTAAGTAAATGTGGCCACGAGCAAGGAACCCAGCCGTTAGACAAGTTTTCGCGAGGAATTATAGAGTGAGTCAGACAGCATGCTATGGTAGATTTAGCCCCATCACAGTGTGCTACCAAGAAGGTTCTGTTGCGAATAGACCGTTTATGTGACAGCACGAAATAAGGAATGTTCGGGGAAGAAATTCCAGGTTAATAGATAAGGGCTGCAATTCATTCGCAGGCTGTTACATGGGCTAAACAGTAGGGTAAAGATACGGTTCACTATTTACTACGTCACTGGTTTTCAGCGCCAGGCATCTAATGGTGCATGGGCATGAAACGGCCAATAGGTGCTAGCATTGGAAACTAGTATTCATGGAATGGCACTTGATCAC